TCACTCCGTCCCTAAAAGATTTACACGTTTCAAAAAAAAATTGCGTCCCACAATCCCTTACCCATTTCTATTAAAAAACCACTTTTACCCCTTAATTTTTCAAACCCTACCTATCACATCATACCTTTTTCCTAATAATCTACACATCACATCATACTTTTACACATCACATCAAAAATATTTTTGAAAAGTCAACACAAAATTATCTCTCTCTTAATTTCTACTTTAGTCAAAACATACACATCTTTATGGGACAGAGGGAGTATATGATTGTTTGAAGAGTAAGGTTCCGTTCCCATGCCATTCCACCTTTTCATTGAGAAATTAAAATTTTTAGGGCAATGTTAGGGGTACCCCATGTTGGTGTATCCCTAGCTTATTCAAATTTTTAACAAACAATGTAAAATGTGATGGTCTTGAAAAATGTACCTTATACTCCGTATATAATTATCTTTGAAAATCATTTCTCTCTTGAAAAATTCTTTTGAGAAAATATTTTTCTCTTGATCAAATGCACCTAAAATTAAACTATGGAAGCAAAATAAAAGAATTGAAATCATTGCATGACATCTATCCATGAATGCATCTGGTTTTATTGTACTCCGTACTAGGTAACATTTACTTTCCATCTACCTTCTCGGATTCAAAAAAATTAGAGAGTACTTCTACTACTCCACCACTTTTCTAAAATATAAGCAACACTCCACTATTTAAAAATTACGGGAACTTTTATTTATTTTTACATTTTCATTGATTATTTGATAAAATAAAATATTCTTGTCACCACTTGTTTTATAGAATTTGTGATGTAGTTTCTAAATATGTAAGTTTTATTTTTCATTTGTAGACCATTCTTTAAATAAAATGGATTGAAAAAATTCAAAAAATTACTTCGTTTAGCATAATGTTACTTATATTTTGGATAAAGGGAGTACTTTGTAATTATTGAGTATCAAAATTATGAATGAGTATCTCTCACCTTGAAGCAGGGTCTCGGGGTCTAGCTTTTAATACGGAGTAACAAAAATGTGTTCTGTTCCCTATTTTGAGTGTAAAGTGCTTTATTCTTCCTTTTCCCTTTATTAGAACGTCTCATTTATCCACCTATTACTCCCTCCGTCTCAAATTATTTGCCACATTTGTATTTCCAAGGCAAAATATCAAGTTTTTTCAATTCATTTTATTTACATATTGGTATAGAAATAAAAAATAAAATTTACATATAAAAAAACTACATGAAAAGTTCTTCGAAATAAGATGTGTCAAGAATATTTTATTTTATCAAATAACCAATGAAAACATCGAAATAAACAAAAGTTCCCGCGACTGCTGAAAAAGCAAATGTGGTGAATATTTAGGGACGGAGGGAGTATTAATTACTCTGACGAGAAGACTCAAAACCATTACAAGCACAACTTTTTACAAGTATTTTTCTTTCCTGCCCCTTTCTTGAAAATGTCCAAAAAGTAATTGGGTCAATTCACCATATCTATCACATCATATTTATATATAGATAATTCATCATCGTATTTTATTTTTACTTATCACATCAAATGTATTCTTAGAAAGTCAAAACAAAAGTATTTCTCTTTATTTCTATAAAAGTCAAAATATATACGAAGTAGATTCAGTGACGGAAGAAGTAATTAATAGGAATTAGAATATTACGAGGTATTATTATTTTCTTTCCTTGTTCTATTGTTACCATAATTCATTATTTTGCAATGATTACTATCATTCATTATTCTTTATATATATATTTATATATAGAAATATTTGCACTAAATAGTAGTACTAAAACTTATGTCATTTTTCTAAATAGCACTTAAATTATTTTATTTCTGAAATAGCACTTAATAATGTTCAGTAATGACGAACATTTACTTGAATAATGACTAATTGATAATGATTAAAAGTACTACATTAGGAAAAAACACATGTGATACTACTTAGGAAAAATCATTATGTTTTACTGTTATTTACATAAATTCTCCATAGTTTTACGAGCCGTTTGGATAGAAAGAAATTGGAAGGAAAGAAAAGAGGTGGGGAGAAAACACAATTTACTATGCATTTTCTCCTCTTTGGTTGCAATAGAAAACTGAGGGAGGAAAGAAAAAGAGTGAGGCGGGAAGATGAAAAATTTTCTTCCCATCTTAGGCGAGAAAACTCCACCGTTGGGGGGAAATTAAGTAAATTACACATTTGCCCTTTTAGCCCTAATCCATGAGTGCTGCCTCCTCCATATATCTTTTTTTATAAATAAAAAGCAATGACAAAAATATCTTTTTTGCTTTATTACCTTTTCTTTCCTTTTACATTTTCTCTTCATTTTCTAACCTCTCTATTTTCTTTTTTTACTCCAATCTATATCGACACCCTTCCCATTTAATTAGTAGTGACCTATCTACATACCTATTTAATTACGTTGGTATTTGGGGGGTGCAGTCGTCTTTAACACGCATTTTCATTAAAATGTATACCCCTCACCTCCCCTGTCACCGAGCGTGGGCAATCGGGTCCAGAAATTGGGAGTCGAAACCGGACCGCTAGGTTGGAAGATGAAATAATTACGGAGTAGTACTTAGGCATCCCAAATCCTCCATTGTAATCCGCCTAGCCATTTAAAGGGTTACATTTTTAGTCGATCATGAAAGATACTCCCTTCGTTCCTTTAAACCCATAAGGAAAGTGTAATTTTAGTTGATTTTTCTATTTTTGCCTTTGATGTGATGATAAAAGTAAGTTGTGATAGTTTGGTTATTAGTGAAAAAATATGATGTGATAGGTAGGGTATGAAAAAGTAAGGTCAAAAGTGGTTTTTTAATAGAAATTGAAAGTATTTTATGGTATGTTTGGGAACATGGATTTGGATTTCAAATCCGGATTTGGCTTAAATTCCATGTTTGGGAAACTTAAGCATTTTGAATTTGGATTTGAATCAAATTCTTTACATACAAAATAAAGCTTAATTTAAAATCCATGCATCTCCCCTTGTCATTTGAAATTCAGAATTTCAAATTTGGGAATTGAAATGCATGAATTGAAATAAAATGTTAGTTGCCAAACACTACCTTAAGGAATTCAAAAAAAATGAATGGGGAAGAGTTTTGTGGAACGAGGGAGTAGGTGATTTTAATTTAATTTAATGGAGTAATAATAATGTGTACTTGATATTAATTAAACTTGAACAAAGTTAGTTGCGTTGCAATGCAAATTTAAAAAAATTAGTCATACTTCTTCCGTTCTAATATAAAATGCCCCTTTCAGTTTATGATATATATTCTACTGAAATTATTAGTCCGTATTAAATTATTTTATACTCTGTATGTAAAATGGTATAGAATTAAAATATAAATATTAAAAATTAGAGAGAGAACAATGAAAGATGAATTACTTCCTCCGTATACATACTCTGTATGTATACGGAGTAACACTTTTATACGGAGTAATAAAAAGTGGAACTGTTTAATCTTGGTTGAAGAGAGAACAATGAAAGATGAATTACTTCCTCCGTCACCCTAAGATGTTCTCATTTTGATTTTTGGTGGTTTTAAGGAGAGTTGAAAAAAAGATGAAAGTTTACCATAATACCCTTAATGAAAATGGGTGGAGTGTATTAAATAAGGTGGGTGAAGTGTAATAAATAAAATAAGTGAGGGTAGTTGTGATATTTTAATTGTTAAAAAATGAAATGAGAAGATCTATTGTGAACAAAGAAAAAGTGCTATTGGGAAGATCTATGAGAGACAGACGGAGGTAATTTTGTTAAACCAGAGAGTATATATATATATATATATATATATATATATATATATATATATATATATATATATATATATATATATATATATATATATATACATATACACACGGATTGGAGTATGCAAGTTGTAATATATAGGAGTATATGGATGAATATATCCAGGATTGAGATGAGATAGATGGTGATGAAAATTTAAAATGAAAACAAAACTGTTAATACTCCGTATAATGATGGCCAGAGTCAATAATGCATGCAAGAAATTAAGGTCACGTTTGGTACATGGAATTCAAACTATGGAATTGGAATTGAGGATTTCAATTCTATTTCTGATATTTGGTACCATAAAAATTATGTGAATTTGGAATTGATAGTGCAAAAAATGAATTAAAATTGGTAAACTCATAAACTCATTTTTTTAAATGAGTTTATAAACATTTAAAAAAAATATGATTTTCAATACTATCGATATATGATATCCATCAATTTAAAAAATATTTCCTTTGTCCTATAATGATTTTCTCACATTGACTTAAACCTATTTTTAAGTGATTGATTATTTATAATTTGACTTTCAATTTTGTCCCTCCTTCCCAGAAGCTCAATTCCAAGTTACAGAGTAATTAAAAAGACCATCCATATTTTTAGCTATGTCAGCGGCTCTGCTACTTGCTCGACCGTGACAGCTACGGAGCACGGCAGTTGCCGGAAGTCATGATCTAAGCGAAAGGCAGCAAGGGCACTGCTTCACGTCTACTCGACGGCGTGCCTCGGTGGCTATCTATTCCCCTAGACAGTAATGATCTATTTCCTTGGCTCGGCGGCGACCAATTTTAGAGAGATCTATTTCCTTTGGCTCGGCAGCAGCCATTGTTACATATAAATTTGACAAAAAAAAATCTTTAAAATATAAATTCACACAGTTGTAGCATGCATCTTACGACTTGGTTTGTGAACTTGTATCTTTACAAATTTCCCAAAACTACTTTAATAAACATAAAAAGTTGCCACATGTGTATGTCCAATAAAAAGGTTTGGACGTTTGGTTCAATAAATATGTATCATAGATTTTTAACAAATTTTCTCTTCCCAAATTTAGACTAATGCAACAATTAAATGTGAAGAATCTAAAAAAGAACTTTGAACGAAACTCGTGTCCAGAAAAAAAAAACTATAATAAAAATTAAGAAAATAAAGTACAAAAAACAATGGTCATCATATTCTAATTAAACCAAAGCAAAAGTTATAAGAGAACTGATAAAAAAAATACTTTTGTTTGTCTTATAAGAGCTTCAAGATTGATCCCCCGAAGTATATTAGCTTCCCTCCAGCCTCTCGTTAACAGATGCGCTCGAATAGCTGGAAGTCTGAAACCATCTCTGTCTTTCTTGACCCAAAGAGTGAAAAGAATGAAGAAAAATAAACTTTGATCTACTGCAGCAAAACTTGCAGTTATGCCTATAGAGAAAAGTATGCAATATGTAAAACCTAATTAAGAGAAAAAACACATGAAACATCCCATTCCATCTGTACGTATGAGAAGAGAAGATAAATAATAATGATCAATGGCTTTAAGAGAAGCACTTGATATCTAAATGGCTCAGAAATATACGATATGATTTCAACATAAAGTTTGGTAAATACTCTGTTATCTTGTAAAAGTATTTGTAAATACAGTTTATCATCTATTTTAACTAATAACATTGTCTTGAAAAAATGACAATATGTATTCGCCTCTGATTAATCAATGGTCTAGAAAATGCTATTTGCATGTAATCAACTCTTAAGATTTGCTCAATTTTTAAGAGCGACTTAGGCTCCGTTCCGTTCAACTTATTTTTTCTGATCTGATCTGATTCTAATAAGTACTGATCTGATCTGGTCTGATCTGATCTGATTGGATCTGATCTGATCTGATTGGATCTGATCTGATCTGATTGGATCTGATTTGATTTGATCTGATTGAATCTGATCTGATCTGATTGGATCTGATCTGATCTGATTAATTATGATTTAATTTAAAATTTCAAATCAATAATTTAATTTGACTTTATAATAACGTTTGAAAATTGTAATGATAATTCATATTATAATATAATCAATATTTTTTATTTAATGATTATTTTTTAATAAAATAAAAATAGTTAATTCATATCTTAGAATAATCATTCATATTATAATGTAATAATATATTTTATTTTATGATTATTTTTTTGTAAAATTAGAATTATATAATAGAATAAATATTTAATTTAGATATACATTAAAAATTAATTAAATTTAGATAATCAATATATAGAAGAGATAGTATTTTTATTAAAATGTCTCATCCTTATAAAAGATCAAAAGTTTAGAAACTCAAATTATAAGTAGCAATCAAAATATATTTTAAAAGTAGAATTAGATTGACATTGTCAATGTATTGTCAATCTATTTAACCTATTTCTAAAGTTTATTCTTTTTCATTTTTAAGAACAATAATAATAATAATAATAATAA